CATTTCTTGAGGTCCAAGAATGTCAGAACAGTACAGATATCCCCCAAATGTAAGGACGGTACAGATATCCCCCCCAAATGTCAGAACAGTACAGATACCCCCCCCCCAAATGTCAGAACGGTACAGATACCCCCCCCCCAAATGTCAGAAAGTACAGATATCCCCCCAATGTCAGAACAGTACAGATATCCCCCCCCCCCCCAAATGTCAGAACGGTACAGATATCCCCCCCAAATGTCAGAACGGTACAGATATCCCCCCAAATGTCAGAACGGTACAGATATCCCCCAAATGTCAGAACGGTACAGATATCCCCCCCAAATGTCAGAACGGTACAGATATCCCCCCCCCCAAATGTCAGAACGGTACAGATATCCCCCTCCCCCACATGTCAGGACGGTACAGATATCCCCCCTCCCCCACATGTCAGGACGGTACAGATATCCCCCCTCCCCCAAATGTCAGGACGGTACAGATATCCCCCCCCCCAAATGTCAGAACGGTACAGATATCCCCCCCCCCAAATGTCAGAACGGTACAGATATCCCCCCCCCAAATGTCAGAACGGTACAGATATCCCCCCCCCCCCCAAATGTCAGAACGGTACAGATATCCCCCCCCCAAATGTCAGAACGGTACAGATATCCCCCCCCAAATGTCAGAACGGTACAGACATCCTCCAAATTACCCCTTTTTGAAAAGTAGACAGTCCGAGTATTTTATAACAGTCATGGCGAGTTTTTTGAAGTTGTAATTTTTTTTGTCATAATTTTTCGGAAATGAAGAAATAAAAAAAATGATTTTCACTATTTTGTTACATCCTGTCACCAGTGCAGTACAGCGTCATCATCATATAACTGGCATGGTGGTGATCAGGGACACTGACTGGTAATAGTATGGGAAAAAAATGATTTTTTAAATTATTTTTTATTAAATTTTTTTTCTCTATTTTTAAGATGTTTTTTCATATTTCACTATGACCAAAGTAGTATAATGTTACCATAGTAACATTGTACTACTTTGGGAAAGTGATCAGTGTTTATTTATTTTTTTTACACAATTTTCTTATAGCAAAGAATTACTTTGCTATAAGCAAGCATTTACCTGAATGAAATCGATTCATTCATGGGTTTTTTATGCTTAACTGTGATTTGGCCACGGCTAATCACATGACACAGTTGGGCTTTGATTGGCCCAGTTGCGCATGTGATCACTGCGACCATTCACAGCTAGACACACTAGTATACAATGGGACGGTATGAAAGGAAGCCATCCATTGTATACAACTGTCATGTGACCTGCTGTGATTGGTCACAGCAGGTCACATGGTACTGGCAGGTCACACATGGTACTGGCCGAAGTACACGGCCGGTGACAGCTTGCGCTGCTGCGGCGGGGGGGTGGGGGGCGGGCTGGGCTGAGGATTTGGTGGGGCTGAGGTGGGGCGTGGGGGAATGGTTGGACGGCTTTGCGGGCAGGAAAACTGCGCATGACTGAAAGGATGCCATATGGCATCCACCCAGAGGGATGAGCTGCTCGCCACGCGCCTTTGTGCTATTGGCTGGATGGCAACTGGTTTATGATGTAGATCTGCATTATTGGATGATTGACGAGGGATTTACTGTAACGTAAATGTAAGAGTAGAATCATTGTATCAGTAAGATGTGATCAGTAGAAATATGTAATTTGTAGATCTTGTCTCATTCCATGTTATTACAGATAAGTGTTCAGTATTCAGTCACAGACATATACAGTATTCACCAATCAGCATCTGGAAGGACAGAGTAGCTTCTAGGCTAGTGGTGTCACCTGGATGCCAATGGAGCTTTGCTATCTAAGTAGACAAGCCGTTCTCACCTTGAATTTTAAAAGAAGAGCTTTAGCCTTTTTGGCTAGAAACAGCAGTGGACCAGGAGAAGCTTCTGAAATGTCTGCCAGCTTTGATTTATATTCACAGATAAGAGGAATCTGTTTCACTAAAATATTAGTTGCAGAGAGATGGAAATACTTCCTTCTGATTGGACACACCGTAGGATCCATCTACATGTAAAACTGTATTTGTAGCCTCTGTAGAATCCCAGAGAAACACACAGAATGGTTTATATGGTGCCTGATTTAGCTGAACAGTGATTGGTACTGTCGCAATTGGACTGAAGCGCTGGTGTTGGAAATTCTATCCCTGACTCAGTGATCTGAACCGTTCCTGGTCCATTCAAGATTGGGCACTTCAAAACACAGAACGTCCTGTGGGCTGGTACAACAACACCCCTGAGGGTTGATTGGCCAAGGGTTAAAGTTCCACCCACCATCCGTTTTTCAATAAACCGTGTACCCTGAGATATGGACAGTGTGATTCGTATGGAGCCGAGTCTATTTGGCTGGCGAATCACAGACTTTCATTGACTTGCTCCAGTCACAGGATAAATCTTGGCAAAAGTTTTATTTCTGTTTTTATTCCCTTTTATTTTATAGTGAATAACCAATTGTGTGTATTTTTGTATTCTTTGTAACTCTTTTTTTCTTTGTACATATTTTTTACCCTGCCCATTTTCAGGATATTAAGTCATACAAATAATAAGTGACTTCTGTGTACTAAGCTTGGGCTCATATCTGGCCGGACAGAGATCTGTGTGTGTGTGGTGGCCAAGCAGACTAGTCTGTGGACAAACTGTTGGGTCGTGGCAAGGTACCAAGTGTGGATCTGGTGAGGGGGTGTGTAGACAGTAGGAACAGTGATTAACGCCGGGGTTCTAGCTTTTAGGATAGCTAGAGGAATCCTAGAAGGGTGTGCCAATTGCTAGACTGCTACCCCCACCCTTAGAGTGCACCAGATTGTATGTAAGATTCATATCTGCCTGTGTGTGATCAGCCAGATTGGATTGGAGTCTCCCTCTAGTGGTGGCCAGAGGTAGTGCGGGCTGTGAAAGTGTATCATGACCAGTCTTATATGCTCAAAGTAAGTCCCCCTCACTCCCTCTTTACCCCAGTCACGGACCACGCTTTGGTAGGCTAGTCACCATGGGCGTGCCTTATCCGTGACATTTACATTGGGGAAATCTTTTTTATTAATAAAGGACTAGTCATGTTTATTAATAAAGGACTAGTCCTTCGACAGCTCTTTGGTCTTCACCATAGTGGAGTTTGGAGTGTGACTGTTTGAGGTTGTGGACAGGTGTCTTTTATACTGATAACAAGTTCAAACAGGTGCCATTGATACAGGTAATGAGTGCAGGACAGAGGAGCCTCTTAAAGAAGAAGGTACAGGTCTGTGAGAGCCAGAAATCTTGTTTGTTTGTAGGTGACCAAATACTTATTTTCCACCATAATTTGCAAATAAATTCTTTCCAGATCAGCCAATGTGATTGTCTGGATTTGTTTTCTCATTTTGTCTCTCATAGTTGAGGTCTCCCTATGATGCCAATTACAGGCCTCTCTCATCTTTGTAAGTGGGAGAACTTGCACAATTGGTGGGGACTAAATACTTTTTTGCCCCACTGTATCTGTCTCCAGTCAAAGGACAAGAGATGAGCTTTTTTTTTCTTATATTAACCATCTCCTGCCCTCCATATAAGGAAATGACAGCCATGCGGAGGTTCTCTCATTCTGGGAGGATGTCTTATGGGGGTTTATTTACTACAGCTGGAGAGTCCAAAATCAGACTCCCTTCTGCATAGAAACCAATCAGCTTCTAACCTCAGCTTGTTCAATGAAGCTTTGGCAATGAAACCTGGAAGCTGATTGGTTTCTATGCAGAAGGGAGTCTGATTTTGGACTCTCCAGCTTTAGTAAATAAACCCCATGATGTCTAACTCTAACCGCAGCGCTGGGACACGGGATCATGATCAGTGGAAAGAGCCGATGACTTTGGCTCTGTCATGTGATCAGCTGTGTCCAATCACAGTTGATCGCATGTAAATAAGAAAACGCCGGTCACACTGACTGCTCGTGAGGAGAGGAGAGCCGGTAATCGGCAATCCTCAGAGGGGACATCTACACTGATCATCAGGGCACTGATTATCAGTGTAGCCCCACCATGCCACCTGTCAGTGCCCATCAATGCCACATATCAGTACCTACCAGAGCACATCAATGCCACATATCAGTGCCAATCTGAGCTGCCTTTCAGTGCCAACTATCAGTGCCGCCTGTCAGTGCCACCTATCAGTGCATATATAAGTGCTGCCTTTCAGTGCCCACCAGTGATGCCTGTCAATGCCCAACAGTGCCACCTACCAGTGCCACCTAACAGTTCAAGTCAGTGCCACCTATCAGTGACATATATAAGTGCTGCCTTTCAGTGCCCACAGTGATGCCTGTCAATGCCCATCACTGCAGCCTAATTAGCGCACATCAGTGAAGGAGAAAAATTACTCATTTACAAAATTTTATAGCAGAAACTGAGAAAAAAACTTATTTTTTTCACATTTTTCAGTTGTTTTTTGGTTTGTTTAGCAAAAAATAAACCCAGAGGTGATTAAATACCACCAAAAAGAAAGCTCCATCTGTCTCAAAAAATGATTGTCAAAAACATGAGAAACATCTCGGCCTAAATTTATGAAGAACAATTTTCATTTGCAAACCTTAATAACAGAAACAAATAAAAACGTATTTTTTTTTTTTTTTCAAAATTTTTGGGTCTTTTTTTGTTAATTTAGCAGAAAATAAAAACCCCAACAGTGATTAAATACCATCAAAAGAAAGCTCTATTATCTCAAGAAAATGACAAAAATTTTATATGGGTACAGTGTTTGAATGACCGCGCAATTGTCATTCAAAGTGCGACAGTACTGAAAACTGGCCTGGGAAGGAAAATGTGAAAGTGCCCGGTAGGCAAGTGGTTTAAAAAATATTTTGGGGGCTTCTACAGGCTTGCAAGAAACACAACAAACACTAAGTAAGCCGATCTAGATGTTCCAATTCCCATTGGGAGCAGCCCGTCTATTACCCCCTTATATCCCCATCCTGATATTATACAACCAATACAGTCCAGATAATTCTCTGCTATCCATCTACAGAGAAAACCACATGACCCCACCAATGAGGATGGAGGAGGACCAGGAGTCACATGACTGAGAAGATACTAAACCTCACCCTGGAGATCATCTACCTGCTGACCGGAGAGGTGAGGAGGATTCTGGGAGGTCACATGACATCACTCTCATCTCTATTAATAAAACACAGACCTGACCGGAGAGGTGAGGAGGATTCTGGGAGGTCACATGACATCACTCTTATCTCTATTAATAAAACACAGACCTGACCGGAGAGGTGAGGAGATTCTGGGAGGTCACATGACATCACTCTCATCTCTATTAATAAAACACAGACCTGACCGGAGAGGTGAGGAGGATTCTGGGAGTCTAACATGATATTCCTATTGGTTCCTCAATACAGAGATTTCCTTTCTGAAGTCAGGTGATCATATGACCATCACAGTGCCTCCATGTGACTCCCTAAACCCTGAGAGACACAACATGCAGAAGATTCTAGAAGTCACCAAGAAGATGATGGAGCTGCTGACAGGAGAGGTGAGCGGTGCCGGGAATTCTGGGACATTCTCCAGTAACAGACAAGGGATGTGTCTGGATGGTGACTGTATCATTGTGTGTGTCAGGTTCCTATAAGGTGTCAGGGTGTCACTGTCTATTTCTCCATGGAGGAGTGGGAGTATTTAGAAGGACACAAGGATCTCTACAAGGACGTCATGATGGACAATCAGCCGCCCCTCACATCACCGGGTAAGAGGAGACTTTATTGTAAAAGGAGAGAGCAGTACGGAGGATCCACCTAGATCCCCCATCATCTGATAAACACATAGAAACAATGGATTCAGTCAGTGTGTGTGTTTCCTACAGATGGATCCAGTCATGGGAACCCACCAGAGAGATGTCCCCGTCCTCTGTATTCCCGGGATTCCACACAGGAAGGTCACACCATCCCTCACCATCATCAGGTAGATGAGGAACAATCACTGATAGTATCATTAGGATCTGTACATTATCTGCATTGTTACCATTGATGTCATTTTTATTATATATTCAGAGTGGAAACCTGAGAGATCCTAAAGCTGAGGTTAAAGAAGAGATAAAAGAGGAGGAGGAGGAGGATGGGGGGATGGAGGAGTCAGAGCTTCTAAAAGAACAAAAAGATCTGTACCAGGACATCATGGTGGAGTCATCCAGCTACAGGAACCCACCAGAGAGATGTCCCCGTCCTCTGTATTCCCGGTATTCCACACAGGAAGGTCACACCATCCCTCACCATTGCAAGGTTGGTGGATGGAGAATCAAGAACATGGACTCATAGAGACAATGTGTGGATTTTTTTGTGTGACCTTATTATTTTACAGATGATATTTTCTCTCTCATTTCCTTGATTTAGAGTGGAGATCCAATCGATATAGAATTTGAGGTGAAAGCAGAAGAAGAAGAGGCGTATGTGAGGGATGATCAGCAGTCTATGGAGGAGGATGGAATAACGGGGACATTTATAGAGGAGGACACTCCTACAGAGATCAGCACAGGTGGGTCATGAACACTAAATCCATTCCTCCACCCATACTGCTCACTGATTGGTCCAGAGTAGGGCGGGGACTGGGTGATATCAGCCTGTAATCCCCTGGTCACTTTCCTGAGCTGTGTTCCCCGTCCTGTATTCCTGGATTTCTCTCGGATAATCTTCCTTCTCTGTGCTGCAGACACAATTTATGTATCTAGACTGGATTTATGGAGGTTCTGGGGTTCAGCTGGCAGCAAAATGTTGATGTTCACAATAGGTGTTGATTGACCTGGGACATAATGTTTGGGTCTTCTACCCCATATCCTGGGGCTAACAGGATCTCTGACAGAACATTTCTCCCAGGGTTCCTTGCTCTGTTATCTGCTGGCTGTGCCGGGTGGAGGGATATGTCTGTAGTGTCTCAGACCCAAGTCACTGAGTGCAGTCTCAGGAGATGGGAGGCAGCGGTGTGGGATCTCTGCAACTTGTCTACAGTAAACATTTAATCTTCCACTGATTACTGAATACCAATATTATGAGTCCTGAATCTTACACTATAAATATACTAAAGAAAAAAATGCTACACCTACATCTTTATCAATAAGTGCTAAAAGTGCAAATTTCATGCAAATATACTACAGTATATTGCCAAAAGTATTTTCCCCCGCCCTCCCAATCATGTGATTCAGGTGTTCCAATCCCCTCCCAATCATGTGATTCAGGTGTTCAGGTGATTCAGGCGTTCCAATCCCCTCCCAATCATGTGATTCAGGTGTTCCAATCCCCTCCATGGACACAGGTGTATACAATCATCCCCTAGGCATGCAGACGGCTTCTACAAACATTTGTGAAAGAATGGGTCGCTCTCAGGAGCTCAGTGACTCCAAGCGTGGTCCACCTGTGCACCTGGGCAAGTCCATTCGGGACATTTCCTGGCTACTTAATATTCCACTCTCAACTGTTATAACAAAGTGGAAGCAACTGGGAACAACAGCAATTAAGCCACCAAGTGGTAGGCCACGTCACATGACAGAGCATGGTCTTAAGCACACAGTGCACAGAAGTCGCCAACTGTCTGCAGAGTCAATAGCGAAAGACCTCCAAACTTGGTGTGGCCTTCAGATGAGCCCAAAAACAGTGTGTAGAGAGCTTCATGGAATGGGTTTCCATGGCCGAGCAGCTGCATCCAAACCTTCCATCACCAAGTGCAATGGAAAGCATCATATTTTGTGGTGTAAAGCACGCCACCACTGGACTCTAGAGCAGTGGAGACGTGTTCTCTGGAGGGACCAACCACGCTTCTGTGTCTGGCAATCCAATGGATGTGTCTGGGTATGGTGGTTGCCAGGAGAACGGTACTTGCCTGACTGCATTGGGCCAAGTGTAAAATTTGTTGGAGGGGGATTATGGTGTGGAGTTGTTTTTTTAGGGGTTGGGCTTGGCCCCCTAGTGCCAGTGAAGGGAACTTTTAAGGCAACATTTTGGACAATTTCATGCCCCCAACTTTGTGAGAAGAGTTTGGGGATGGCCCCTTCCTGTTCAAACATGACTGTGCACCAGTGCACAAAGCAAGGTCCATAAAGACATGGAGGAGCCGGTTTGGGGTGGAGGAACTTGACTGACCTGCACAGAGTCCTGACCTCAACCCCATAGAACACCTTTGGGATGAATTAGAGTGGAGACTGTGAGCCAGGCCTCCCTCCCCCCCCCTGACATCAGTGCCTGACCTGACAAATGTGCTTCTGGAAGAATGGTCCACCTTCCCATAGACACCCTCCTAAACCTTGTGGACGGCCTTCCCAGAAGAGTGAAGCTGTTATAGCTGCAAAGGGCGGGGCCAACTCAATATTGAACCCTACGGACTAAGACTGGGAGGACATTAAAGGTCATGTGCGTGGAAAGGGTGGGGCCAACTCTCAATATTGAACCCTACGGACTAAGACTGGGGGGCCATTAAAGGTCATGCGTGTGGAATGGCAGGCCGCCCAATACTTGGGGCAATATAGTGTATCATAGGTAGAAATGTCCCACACATGGACTTCCCTCAGTGACCCCTAAGACTACGTATGTACTTGTCAGGTCAGGTGGATTTAGTCTGTAATATATCATAGGTAGACTCATCTCTTCAGGGAAGTCTATCACACCTCCAACTAACAACTAAACTTTTAATTCTTCCATCAGCTCATCCCCCAGACTTATTACCTTTTGTACCACTTACCCCACCCAGTTAGATTGTCTGTCTCTGTAATAGCGGTGTCTAATTGTGACTTCCATAGACGCCGGAAATAATGTTTAATATTTACATATTTTAACTAGTTTTAATAGTATATAACTTATCACATTGTATGGTATATGTCTGCACTATTCATTAATTAGAGGCACAGGATAATACACTCCTAACTTTTGACTCTTACACTATATAATTTATATTGTACATTACATACTCCTGACCCCTGCACTATATACTCTGTTATACATTACATCCTCCTGACCCCTGCACTATATACTCTATGTTGTACATCACATACTCCTGAGCCCTGCACTATATACTCTGTTACATTACATCCTCCTGACCCCTGCACTATATACTCTATGTTGTACATTACATACTCCTGACCCTGCACTATATACTCTATGTTGTACATTACATACTCCTGACCCCTGCACTATATACTCTATGTGTTGTACATTACATACTCCTGACCCCTGCACTATATACTGGCTGTTGTACATTACATACTCCTGACCCCTGCACTATATACTCTATGTTGTACATTACATACTCCTGACCCCTGCACTATATACTCTATGTTGTACATTACATACTCCTGACCCCTGCACTATATACTCTATGTTGTACATTACATACTCCTGACCCCTGCACTATATACTCTGTTGTACATTGCATACTCCTGACCCCTGCACTATATACTCTATGTTGTACATTACATACCCCTGACCCCTGCACTATATACTCTATGTTGTACATTACATACTCCTGACCCCTGCACTATATACTCCATGTTGTACATTACATACTCCTGACCCCTAAACTATATACTCTATGTTGTACATTACATACTCCTGACCCCTGCACTATATACTCTATGCTGTACATTACATACTCCTGACCCCTGCACTATATACTCTTGTACGTTGCATCATTCTGATATTATATAGTTCAAACCTTAGGCATCCTATATAAGTTGTACATTACATCGGCTTACTTCTGTTCCCTCCCATTTCCTCCCAGCTGGACATATCGGATGATGTGATTGGAGCACAGACTTTTACATGGTGATAATAATGTGATAACATCCTCCAACTTTGGACCCTTAAACAGAAAGTGAAAATGAGGGGAGGAGTCAATACCCCAATGATGGTGGTCTTCAGGATCAGTCCAGTCTTCATCTTGGTTGTTCTCCCCCCATCCTCACTCTCTGACCTCTGGTGGGGGGCTCAGCCCCACTGTTCTTCATGACTAAATCATGGACTAAATAAGGAAGTGCAGTACTTCTTGTGTTGGGAAGATGGCGATGAGTGATAGAGGGGGTGGGGACCCTCGTCCTATAATCCCCTCATCACTGTCCCTCCTATAAAAGACAGTTCTGGTTGTTTCCTCACTCTCTGACTAAGGTCCATGAATAAAGAAATGACCTGGTAGGAGATCAGAGGAGCCATTTCCTAGTTCCCTTGAGGGTGGAATTGTAAGCTCCTCAGAGACCAAGCTGCCTGATGTGGGCGGAGTCCTGGTTTGGGGGAACCAATCAGCTCCTGTCTAGTAATCCTCTTTGTCTTTGTATTTTAGTCCATGGCCGGGAGATGAGGAAAACCTCCGAGGATTGTCTCACTTTGTCTCCAGACTGGAAAGTAGAAGATGAGGACATCACACAGTATAGTCCAGGAGAAAACCCGGCTCCATCCAATGTCCATCCGGCACCACCCAGTGTAGATGGACCATCGGATTCCTCATATCCTGAGGAACCTCAGACTGTGCGGGACCGGGCCGTCCTTCCAATAGGGAAGAGCTTCTCCTGTACTGAGTGCGGGAAATGTTCCTGTTATAAATCCCATCTTAATGTACATAAAATATCTCACACAGGGAAGAAGCTGTTTTCCTGTCCTGCGTGCGAGAAATGTTTTTCATGCAAGTCTCATCTTTCCATACATCAGAGATCTCAACACGGGGGAGAAGCCGTATTCCTGTCTTGAGTGCGGGAAATCTTTTTCTGATAAGTCCAATCTTTACACACATCAGCGATCTCACAAGGGGGATAAGCCATTTTCCTGTCCTGTGTGTGGGAAATGTTTTTCACAGAAGTCCGATCTTTACAGACATCAGAGATGTCACACAGGAGAGAAGCCATATTCCTGTCCTGAGTGTGGGAAATGTTTTTCACGGAAGTCCAATCTTTACACACATCAGAGATCTCACAAAGGAGAGAAGCCATATACCTGTTCTGAGTGCGGGAAATGTTTTTTCACTGAAGTCCAGTCTTTACAGACATCAGAGATCTCACACGGGGGAGAAGCCGTATTCTTGTCCTGAGTGTGGGAAATGTTTTTCACGGAATTCACATCTTTCCAGACATCAGCGATCACACACAGGGAGAAGCCACTTTCCTGTCCTGAGTGAGGGAAATGTTCCTCACTGAAGTCCTGTCTTCCTGTACATCAGGGGTCCCACACAACCCTGGAGGTGTATTAGTGCCTTGAGTGCGGGAATGTCTTCTAGATGAATGTTGCTGGACATCCCAGCTCTCATGTGGGGAAGAAGCACACCCTGATATACACCTCAGATATACTCCATGGCTGATCTTCATCATGGAAGAAACAGTTCATAAGGAGATCAGAGGTCCCCAAAGACATGGATGAAGTGTGGGACCGGGTTGGCCATTGATATCAGGAGAAGAATAAAAATGGAGTCCTGCCCTGTGATTGGCTGAGTACATTTTGTGGTGGGAGATTTCACAAACACTTGGAGGTCTGTTTTAAAAATAAATATTTCTACCTCCTGTATACCGGACACTTCCCCCCCCTTCCTGCCCAGGCTGACTGGTAACTATCAGCGCTCTCACACTTTGAATGACAATTACACCGTCATGCAACATTGTACCCAAATTATATTTTTGTAATTTTTTTTTCACACAAATAGATATTTATTTTGGTGGTATTTAAACACCACTTTTTACCATTTTTCTTGTTTCTTGTTTTTACAAATAAATGGTCTTTCCTTATAAATGTAGACAAAGGTGTATTCTGCGCCATTTCTTGGGTACAATAACCCCAATCAGTGTCTATGATTCAGTGTGTAGGAGAGTTATAGAGTCTACAAACTATGGGATAGATGTCTGAAAATCCATCATGTCTGATGACGGCAGATCTCATTTCTGAGGATCAAAAACACCAGAACGGTACAAATTGTCAGAACTTTATCTGTGAGGAAATAATCCGTATACAATTCATGGAAACAGGCGGGATCTGGAATGAAGGAGATTCCCTACTAATTCTCACAAAGTAACCGACATCCCAGTTCTGTATTTGTGATAATTGGAAGACAAAATAAAACACAATAATGTGCAAAAATATATATTTATTAATAATATAAATCAGTACAAAATGGGGATGAAATCTAATAGGTTAGATGATGATAAATAATAAACAATACAAGATAACAGTACAATGATCTAATCCACAATAATGGGGAGAAAATACAAGCCAGCAATTACTGCCAAATATTAATGAATTACATCCAACTGTCTGGAAATGTCGTGTAAGAAATCAGTAACTCAGCAACATGTGACAACAGATATACAAATCCCCCCGTGATCTCTCTACAGCCAGATATTCAACGCTCAACGTGTACCTTGCCATGACTTGATCTGGAATCCCATACACAGGCCAATCCAATCCGCGGCATCATAGGGAGACCTCAACTATGAGAGACAAAATGAGAAAACAAATCCAGACAATCACATTGGCTGATTTGGAAAGAATTTATTTGCAAATTATGGTGGAAAATAAGTATTTGGTGAATATGAAAAGTTCATGTCAATACTTTGTTATATATCCTTTGTTGGCAATGACAGAGGTCAGACGTTTCCTGGAAGTCCTCACAAGGTTGGCACACACTGTTGCTGGTATGTTGGCCCATCCTCCATGCAGATCTCCTCCTCCATGCAGATCTCCTCTAGCAGTGATTTTGTGGGGCTGTCGCTGGGCAACACAGACTTTCAACTCCCTCCAAAGGTTTTCTATGGGGTTGAGATCTGGAGACTGGCTAGGCCACTCCAGGACCTTGAAATGCTTCTTACGAAGCCACTCCTTCGTTGCCCGGGCGGTATGTTTGGGATCATTGTCATGTTGGAAGACCCAGCCACGTTTCATCTTCAATGCCCTTGCTGATGGAAGGAGGTTTGCACTCAAAATCTTACGATACATGGCCCCATTCATTCTGTCCTGTACATGGATCAGTCGTCCTGGTCCCTTTGCGGAGAAACAGCCCCAAAGCATGATGTTGCCACCCCCATGCTTCACAGTAGGTATGGTGTTCTTTGGATGCAACTCAGCATTCTCTCTCCTCCAAACACGACGAGTTGTGTTTCTACCAAACAGTTCTATTTTGGTTTCATCTGACCATATGACATTCTCCCAATCCTCTTCTGGATCATCCATATGCTCTCTAGCAAACTTCAGATGGGCCCGGACATGTACTGGCTTAAGCAGGGGGACAAGTCTGGCACTGCAGGATCTGAGTCCCTGGCGGCGTAGTGTGTTACTGATGGTAGCCTTTGTTACGTTGGTCCCAGCTCTCTGCAGGTCATTCACTAGGTCCCCCCGTGTGGTCCTGGGATTTTTGCTCACCATTCTTGTGATCATTTTGACCCCACGGGGTGAGATCTTGTGTGGAGCCCCAGATCGAGGGAGATTATCAGTGGTCTTGTATGTCTTCCATTTTCTAATTATTGCTCCCACAGTTGATTTGTTCACACCAAGCTGCTTGCCTATTGCAGATTCAGTCTTCCCAGCCTTTGCAGGTCTACAATTTTGTTTCTGGTGTCCTTCGACAGCTCCTTGGTCTTCACCATAGTGGAGTTTGGAGTGTGACTGTTTGAGGTTGTGGATAGGTGTCTTTTATACTGATAACAAGTTCAAACAGGTGCCATTGATACAGGTAATGAGTGCAGGACAGAGGAGCCTCTTAAAGAAGAAGGTCCAGGTCTGTGAGAGCCAGAAATCTTGCTTGTTTGTAGGTGACCAAATACTTATTTTCCACCAAAATTTGCAAATAAATTCTTTCCAGATCAGCCAATGTGATTGTCTGGATTTGTTTTATCATTTTGTCTCTCATAGTTGAGGTCTACCCTATGATGCCAATTACAGGCCTCTTTCATCTTTTTAAGTGGGAGAACTTGTACAATTGGTGGTGACTAAATACTTTTTTGCCCCGTTGTATATACTGTATACATCCGGATAAACCATTGACTAGAAGCCAGAATCAGCCTACAGAGCACTTCTACCCCCTTCCTGCCCAGGCCAATTTCTAGCTTTCAGCGCTGTCGCACTTTGACAATTGCGCAGTCATATAACACTGTACCCATATGAAATTTTTATCATTTTTTTCTGATAGATAGAGCTTTATTTTGATGGTATTTAATCACCTTGAGGTTTTTTATTTTTTCTTAAACAAACCAAAAACTACTGAACATTTTGAAAAAAAAATTTTTTTTTTCTTAGTTTTTGTTATAAAATTTTGTAAATAAGTGATTTTTCTCCTTCACTGATGTGCGCTAATGAGGCTGCACTGATGGGCACTGATGAGGAGGCACTGCTAGGTGGCACTGATGGCACTGAAAGGCAGCACTCATATATGGCACTGATAGGCAGCAATG